ATTGGCCCTCCACTGAGAACCCACCGGGGCCTTGGGACCTCGCCGCACAGCCTCCGCGGGGCTTTGGCGGAGCAGCGCAGCACACCTTCAACATTTCACACAAGGCTTGGAGTGCCCAAGCAATCCACAAGTTGGAACAGTCCCAAAGCGGCCTAGGGCCAGCCCCGACCCGACGGCAGAGGCGTTCACTCGGAGCTGCAGGACCTCGGGTATCCTCCCTCCGCGACTACTCCAACATGCTCCAATGACTGCGAGCACAAGAGCGAGCATTCAGTCACAAGGGTCTCACAACTGACCTTTCAAGTGCGAGCGTCGTTAGGGCCAGCCATGAGCTGGTACGTCAGCTCCTGGGGCACATCACGCCGCCGGTGGCCCTGGAGACATAAGACTTGAGCAAGCGAGCGAAACGTGGATGTGGACTCTTGCGTTTGCCTTTGCTTCCCCGGCCTTCTCTGGCGGCGCGATGCGAAAAAGCTCCCGCCCATCTGCCTCGCTGGACAAGGAGGCATGCGATGCAGTCTGCGTGCGCTGGCTGCTGGCCCTCGCCTCCAGCGAGAGCTCTTCCGGCCACACCTCAAAAACTCGAGGGGCGGTTGCAGCGTGGGGCCCTGGCTGTCCTCTGCTCTGTGCCTGGAGGAGCTCGACGCAGTCCAGGGCCACCATGCGAACCCAGACCGCTTCGCCAGCGGCACGCCACTCCTTCAGCAGCGGGAGCGACCTGGGCCACTGACATGGGCCATGGCCCCCTTTTGGAGCCCTAAGACAGGAGTTCAAGACAACTGCAACCAGCTAACAAGGTAAAGCGATGCTCGGCGGCCGTGACCAGGCAGAGGTGCAGAAGCCCTCCATCCACAACCTGCGAAAAGAGACACGGGATGCCGAATGCAGCCCCTGCAGTGGGCACTTCCCTAGCCCCACCTCGTTGAACGGGTCCATGGCCCGAAAACGACATTTGGGACACCAGAATCGCTTTGGATCGTGGGTGAAAGTCCTGGGAAGGGGGCGCCCCCGGGCTGCACACAGGCAAAGGAAGTCAACGCCAAGCGGCGCTTTTCCCAAATCGAAGAGCTCGCCGCAGCGCCTGACAGCGAGTCTGCAGCCGAGCCCTGCACGCACTTTCGAAGCCGCAAGCCCTGGGCGCCCTGGGCGCCCGCAAGGCCCGCAAGGCCCGCAAGGCCCAAGGCCCGCACCCGCAGCGAAGGGGCCGGAAACCGCTCGGGGCTCCATGGCCGGCTCCCAAGGCGAAGGTGTCACCTGACCTCAGCTTTCAACGCCAGGCGCTGAGCTGCATCCTGTGAGGATTCCGTTTCTCTGAGACGGCAGCTGAAGCAGCACCACAGTCGATTCCGGGGAGCACCGGCCATGAATACTCACCTGCTCACCACAGATGCGCAATGGCCGCCGCAAGCATCCGAACTATCAGCATCAAGCCCGGACCCCCCAAAAAAAATCTGCTGGCTTGCGGACGTGCCTGCGCCGGGCGCTTCCTGGCTGCATTGGCGTCGCCATCCTGGTCAAAAAATGTCGGGCCCCATTTCGACGGGTTGTGATGCGTCTAGCAGTAACACTGACCTCTCTCTGTGCATGCGCACAATGATCATCCAACCATCCTGGATAAACAAGCGCAGAAGCTCGACCAACGTTTCATCAAAATAGAAAGCACCCAAAGAGGCGCTCTCAACCTCAAGGCCCGTCAAGCTTATCAATGCTTCAGAATGCCGCCAACCCCCGCAAACCGCTCCATGTGGAGACCCTTATTTTCCAGCTGTGGTGGTCCTTCGCTTTCCTCTTCGCCACGAGACGCTCCACAAGGTCTTCCTCTGGTTGCAGCAATCAAAGCAATGCAACGCACGGCCTGCCGCTTTCGCGGCTTCCGGCTGACGACATGAAGCGTCATCACTCTCCTTTGAGGAACGCCCAGGCGGAATGCCGCGGGCGCGGCAAAGGCCCTGCCTGGTACCAATGGCCGAGGCTTGTCGCGGTAGATGCGGTAGGATTTCGGAGCACTTTCGGTGCCGAGGGGCTCGAAGAAGTGGAAACCACCGAAGAATTCTGCTGCCAAGATGCAGCAGCGGAAGCGAGAGAGCGGCGAGCTTCGAACGCTCACCATCCATGGCATGTCAAATTGGGACTGAGGGAATTGCTTAGAGTTGCGGGGGGAGAAGGCGCTGTGATGCCAACTGTTACGCTGCAGAAACCGTCTGGCGCATGCGCGTACCACAAGATCGGCGATAAGCCTTCAAGCTCACTCATGGCTCAAGTTTCTGTAGCCACAGCGTGTGTTGGAGTCTTGAGCCTAGCGTATCATCGCGGGATTTCTTGACGATACCTGCAGTACTGCCTCTCAGGCTTCAGCGCAGCGTCGCTCCTGTGGCATCTGGGGATGTGCGGGACCTTGGGAGACAGGCACATCCAAACACGGCACAGGCTGCTGGCTGCCAGCAAGCAACCAGCAGGCCAGGATCACGGTGCACCAGAAGTACCAAGTCACGTGCGGGATCCCTTGCATTTACCAAGCGGTAGATTCGGGAGAGCCTCTTCTCCTCGGCAAGGGTCCACTGTGGGCACCCCTCTCGCGACATATCTTCGACCCGGCTCTGTCCAAATCTCAGCAGGTAGCCATCATTCGAGCGAACGGGCCGTTGACGGACTCGGAAGCTGGAGCTCTCCCGAGCCGCTCACAACAGGGACCTTCTTGAGTCTCATGCTCGAGGCTGGCCGAAGGTGAGGAGGATGGGCTCCTCGCGGGTCCTGCGACGTCTCAGTCTCACAAGATCATTGAAAGGAAGGAACTTAAGCTGCAGCTCCAAAACGAAACGTTGAACGCCGCCAGAAGTGCCATAGAAGCACCCAAGCTGTGCCCGGTGATCCAAAGCCTCATCTGGACATGAAACGAAGCTGAAACGACTGACGCGTTTGGTGCATCTGCGAATCAGACACCGGAAAATGACAACCAGGAGGCGTGTGACTGCTGAAACACTCAAGACCGACGAAGGTAATCGTTTCTTCAGCCCTTGGCTGGCAAGTGGGGCACTTTATCTCCAAGTCCCGCAAGACCTCGCCAGCAGTCTGGCTTGGAGCAAATATGCATCTGGTCCATCTAGTGCTCATACATGACGAAGATCTACACACTCTTCGTCGTCGTGGTCTTGCGGCGGAAAACCCGGCACGCCACCGGATGCAAACTCTCAATCAGACTACTTCCTGCCGCCCGCATGCGAAACACTGAGTTTCCCGTCCAACCGTGCATGAATCGCATCGCTCTCATCACTACAGTCACTACATGGACACAAAGAACGAGATACGAGGAAGCTGCCGGTGTTAGTTGTGGAAGAAGATCATCTGCCTGGGTCGGTCGAAAATCCTTTGTCCAGCGCTGTTCACTCTCTGCAAATAGCGCTCCGAGCTCCGTCTTCAGCCCCATACTGCAGCCAGAAAGAACTCGTTCACGCGAACCTGGCTGAAAATCACCAGGGTTCAGTGAAGGCGCACTGCCACCTGAACGCAACCTTGACATGCTACGTCACCGCTACACGTCGAGCAGCCAGCCTGTGCATTGCCCGTCATGAAGGGCACCAGAGAATGCGAGATGAGCTCAACCATCAGCTGGGCCAGGGCAGGATTCAGGAGATCTGGCACACATTCAACGTAGGTTCCTCCTGACCCACGTGGCGGCTGGAACACCTACAAGCACTTGAAGCCTGTGTCAAGGTGTCCGTTCCACGAAAGGCAAGTACCTGAAGCCAGTCATCAGCAACTTCACAAAACACGGCGACCCCCAAGTCCGATGCAACTGCTTAAGTGCAAGACGATCCGATTTGCGGACGAGTCCAGAGCGACGTACGCAAAAGCATTGTCCCAGATTCCAATCCTCATGACACTCGCAGACTCACGGAAGAACAGTTGTCCTGTCTCTTCTGAAGGTGTACTGAGTGCCGAGACCGGTAATGGAATGGTTTCACCACTTCCGCTGAGTCTGGCAGTCCGTGCCTCAATGTCTTGGCACTCACCGACACCACCCAAAGACGGCACGGACATGCGCGGAACAAAGTCAGCACACAAGCAAAACATCCCCGAATCTGCGCCTCTCAGGCTCGTCGTAGTAGGCTGCCCACGCATAGCGAACCATCCTCGGCACTCTCGGACTCCAGGAAAGGGCTCTTGTGTCAAGTCAGCTGGGGTGACAACTCCAGGGCATCTTGCCGCCGGAAGTCGGTCTGGCGTGGCACCTTGTCGCCGTCGGACAAAGCTGCTTGGGCAAGCTTTTCGGGCTAAGGCCAACAATGGAACGAAGTGACGGCTTCACACGTTCTTTGACTGGGCACTGCTGGCTTGGACCCTTGCCTGAGGAGGGCAGCTGCTTAGATTCACTGACACCGGGGCGTGGCCTTGCAGACAGCGAACCGGTCTGAGTTTGCGCTCATGCATTCATGCATTCATGCATGCCACTTATTCTGCCCAAAATTCCATATTCTAGCTAAAATCCTAAACCCGGGGCCTGGTCCGCATGTGGCAGAAGCCCCTTAGCCACTCAGATCGATACTATCTCAACAAGAAACCACCAAGGCTGGACCAATAAAGGGCCAAAGCACCGAGACACCGCTGTTCTCGGTCACACCAGCCACAACTGTCCGCAATGCAGCTGTCGCAAAGTCCTGGCAGTGCCACATTTCTCACGAAACTGTCTGGCGTCACAGCATGCACGAACTCACGCGTTGATGGGATCGAACTCCACGTATATGGACGAGTCAATCACAGAGCTTCCCTTCAGCACATGCCCGCGCACCGTGCTGCGAGCATGCGTGTCCGAAGCCAACCTCGACACGACCTGATCACATGTAACAAGCAGTGTTGTCAACATCGAGGCTGTCATGCACCATCAACAGCAAGTACCAGTAACACAGCAATCGGCCTGCATCAGCATGTTGCGCCACATGATCCAGCAAGTAGGGCGGGAAGGTCGTCGTAGACGCCTGTCATCATGCGAAGAGCAACCACACGCAAACAATTGAATCAATCAGTCCACCTATCCAAGCACCGCATGTGCAGGTGCAGGAGTTAAGGTACATGAGCAACGGCAAAACCCGGCCTGCACTCGCAACAGCCACAATGGCAAACACCATGAAAGCATTCCGTCTTATTCCGTCTTAACGCTTGGTATCTCATTTGGCCAAGTGGTGGGATGTAATTGCGCTTACATGGTGTTATTTTTTCAACCCCTGGCTGGCGAACATTTCGGCACGTGAAAGAACGCCTGCGGTATGTGTCGACCTGTCATTCACATATTCAAGAGAAAATGAGTGCACGGTAAAATAATTCAATGCCATCAAAAACGATATGCAACACGGACAAATCATAAACATCCCGCCTACAGACTCTCATGGCCTTGGCATGGGTTTCTGTGCTTTGATTTTCCGTTGCTCAAACATACACTGAGTTCACGACTGCACTCAAGAAAAGAAAGGTTTCAGCGTTCTCGAGCTCTGCCCCAAAGGGTCGCTGGCTCACTACCGTACCGTTTCGTAGGACAGCACACTACCTCTACGAGCATTCCATCGACAGGCGATGGAGCACCTGAGACGACATCATGATGCTTGACTTACCCACCCGCAACCATTCTAAGGATCGAGATGGCGCGGATGTGGCTGCACACAAGTCACAAGGATTCGTGTGGGCTTTCATGTTCATGGAAAGTCCTACACCACGCAACTAACACCGGAGCTACAGCTTACAAGCATCATCAAAGCGGAAGTACAGAAGCATGCAACATGAAGACGATGCTGTAAAGAACTCGCACTGCTCATCTCCTTTTTGTTTCGGCTTGCCGGAAAGTGACTGCTGTCTGTCCGCGGCTGCGGGCCTTCGGCCGGAAGCGGAGCCGTTCAGAAGCAAGCTGCTGCAGTCACGAAAAGCCCGGGCTGGAAACTGGCAAGCCGAAACTCGCAGCAACGCGGTACTGCCCAGAAAAGAAAGCGAGTAGAGGTAACGCAAAAGCTATTTGCTTGGCTTTGCCGAAGCGGGGCCAAGTGTGTAAGAAGCTGGAAGCTTCCACAAAAGTTTGGCATTCGGCGGAAAAAGCGAAACTGAGAATGCGACATTCCAGAAAGCGGCCAGATCCACTGGGAATCTGTCCTCACTGCG